CAGATTTCATCAGGATACTCTGCATTTCATCATCCTGATCAATACCAAATTGCTCGAGCCCTAGGAGAGATTTCAGAGGAATCCAAACTCTACATATCTTTTGTGATTGATGACAACACATTGACAATTACGCAGAGTCTAAATATCCAATGAGTATTGCATCCCTCTTCCTTTAGGCTTTTTATCAAGATCGCATTTCCTCAGCTCGCTCACACACCCCTTGGAAAGGACAATGTCAAAAGTCTCACTAGTATCAAGGTAACCAACGCTCACTGCTTCCCATGGTGCCTGTTACTTCATCACAATCTGTTTGTTCTGATTTATTCTCAATAAATCCATGCTGGAACGTCCATTATTCCCTGGATGCCTTCTAGATGGTTTGTTTTCCCTACCAGTTTCCTAAGACCTGAATTCTGATTGACCAATTAGAAACCTGAGGTTTTTGCATTTTGGGGGTTTCACTGGTTTTTGTTAGGTTTTATTTTTTCTGGGGGGGTGGGTAGAGAACAGCATTTGTCATTTTCCAGCCTTTTGTAACACTATCTGTCTCCCCTGCAACAGCGGGGGCTCAGACTGCTCAGGCTGACATGTTCTGGGGTAAATGTTATCAAGCTCAGCCAACATGGAAACCTCTAATTCATGGATGTAATCTTAATACTTTTGAAGCCAGTTTCACTAGCTAGTTCCCCACTACAATTCATGCATTGTGAAGAATGTAACCATGGCATAGGCTATAGCATTATCTTTAGGCTCTATGCATGACAAGTTTTTCCTGACAGTTTCTCCAGACCTGTACCTTACAGCTGCAGTTGTTTTCTTTCAGGCCAAGAAACATGGAAGCAGCAAGAACTCACACACATAACACATTTGTTTCCATGCTACATCAATACATTGCCCTCATGATGTATGTCAGGCAGGCCCTTGAAACAACCTAACTTTACCTTAGAGAGAAAAAAAAGTCAGATTTTAATTTCAGGAAAGCAGAAACCACGGCCTCTCTGTACTGACCAAGCGTTGTAATACTGCCGTACATAAAGAGTTAACAGTTGTACCAAGCCCTGGATAAGCTTTCTGTAGGAAGAGTGTTTCTTCCTCTTCATTTGAATTGAAGTATAAATTTGTTCTACCATGAGATATTCCCAGTATACCCATGAAGCATGACAAGCTAAGGTCACTCACTGAATTGTGCCAAGTTTCATTTTCAAGATTTGCAGGTTTGGGTTTTTTAAAAATTAAAAATAACAGAGTTGGAATTTGTGGTCATGGTCAAACAGTGATAAAATTAAGAACAGATAAAGCCACAAATAAATTTTTTTGAGAATTGCAAGCCTGGTTTTGTTGAAGGAGGGGTAGTAGTGCCATTTAATCAAAAGCACCAAGCATCAAGTGTTTGTTACGGTGAACAGAGAAGCCCAGGCTCAAAGAGTTCTGAAATTCAATGCAGAAAACTGCTTTTCTAAAGCAGCCACAGTGCAGGAGAGATGGAAACAGAGGAGCACAACATTCATTTGCCTAGAAGTGTTTGTTTCAAAAATACATCACTTGCAATGAGACATGCTTTGTAACTGCAATACACAGTAATAATATTTAGGACAGCAGTAGCTGCTAAATGAGTCTTCAACTCAGTCATCACCATCTGAAAATGCTCAGGCTCAGCAGGAGTATAACTACACCTTACTCTCCCCCAACTTCAACTGGACCCAGCAAAGTACATCTATGATAACCAAAAAGTTGGCTTGTTGTTCAAGAGATTTAGCTCTTAGCATAGCTTTCAAAGTAAACAATCTTTTGACATGCGAAAGTGCTTGGAGCCTAGCCAAAAAGTTCCTGCCAGCGTTATTTTTTTTCTTGCTTCTTGTTCAGAGTGGATTCACAAGCATTCCTTAAGTTGTTTCGGTCCATCAAATGTTTTTAAAGCTATTTTTTGAGTATTAAAGAGACTCCACAGACTTTCTTTGAACAACTGCAGAGGACAACATTAAGGTACATATATCAGAGTCAAACAACGCTTATCATTGTTGCATTTGAAAAATGCTCCAAGTGGCACAGTCAGAAGGAACTTGAGCAAAAAAGAAACCTTTCATCATGTAAAACAATGCTGCCATGCCACAGCCTGCCTAACGCCCAATGGCTTCAGAACCACCCCTTCAAATACTTCACAGTACTAAAGTTTTAACATCTGACCAGAGAAGTTCCATAAAAGATCAAGGAAAAAAGATGATGGTAGAAGCTCACTTGGCTTTGCAGAGTGGCCATGTTAGACTGGGGAAATCCTGCTAAGCAGAACAAAAATAACACTGCCAAGCACTGAGTGCCTGATCACTCAGGGGTGATGCAAGGGAGAACATGGGAATTGCTCTGGAGACTGTCAGCCTGAGAGAGGGCAGCTCACAGAACCAAAGTGGGACACATCAGATGTAGCAGGACTGGGGACTCTGCAGAGCAATGGAGTGAGCAAGCTTGTATTAAATTAGAAAATGACTGCATCTAGCTATGGTCAGCTGGTATTGCCCTGAGAGATCAAGAAGAAACATGACAGAATCTGCCCCAATGCAAGTCGATGTTTTAAACGCATCATCTTGTCAGGATTAACCTGACATCTACAATTAGCCAGAATATTTTAGTCTGAGAGAGCTCTTATATTCAAAAAAGACAGGTGATACAAATTTGTACTAAAATAAAACTAGAGCTTGATCAGTTGCTGCAACAGTATACAGTTTCCTTTTATATAGGGCAAGGAACAGTTGGTAATAGTGACAGCACACAGCTGCTTGCTGAAGGGTATGAAGCTGTATGGAAAAAAACCCAAAATCTAACTCTTCCATGATATTTTAAGGGCCTCTGGAAGTCTCTTGTCCAGCCTCCTACTTGAAGTGGAGCCATCACCAATGCTAGATCAGGGCCATTGTAGCTTTGTTGAGCTAAGTCCTGAACCTTTGCAGGTACAGAGATCCACCACCTCTCTTATAAACTGTTCCCTGTCCTTTGCCACCCTCCTTGTGAGCAAGTTTTCCCTGAAGGCCTTCCAGAACCTCCCTTACTACAATTCACAGCTGTAGCTCCTTGTTGTATTATCTAGGGCTTGAACCCACAATCTTGTCACTACTCTCCCAACAGCTGTAGGCTCCCATTAGATGATGCTGCACCTCCTCTTCACAGGCTAAACCAGCCTTGCTCCCTCCAGCTCTCCTCAGAGCTCACATGCTCTAGGACCCCAACCACCCTGGGCTATCACCAGTTTTTCAGTATCTCTTAAACCAGGAGGCCCAAAACAGGACACATTATTTTAAGTGAGGCCTCCCCAGTGCCGTGCCAAAGAGGCAATAACTTACCTCAATCTGCTGCTCATGCTCCTCCTAAGGTAACCTTGCAATAGGCAAACCACATGCTGGGTAAGTGTAGCATTGGCTCACACTCAATTTCATATTCAAAGAAAGAAGTCAATTTATGATTCATATACTGGGTTTTTTAATAATGTAAATGGAGAGCTAAACACCCAGAGGCTAGAATCCATTAACATATATTTGAGCAGTGCCTTTAAAGAGTCACGGTGGATAGAAAGGCAAAAGCAGCATGAATAAGCAGAGGATAACACTGGAGGCCCTTAGAAGTTCACGTTAGACTGATATGCATGGGCACAACTGCTTTTTCCAGTCTAAAAACCGTTCATGGGCTTTGAAGTCAGAAAGATGAGACTGCATTAGTGCAGGAAACCAAACAAGAAAAGTCTCTGTCCAGAGTGCCAGCTTAGTCACCGAGAAGTTTGTCTTGAAGTACCCTACCAATCCCGTTTCACTCTGCAGAGTTCTCACCCATGGAGAGGGCGAGACAAACAAGCAACTTCTACAGAGAGGCAGCTCAATGTGCAAATAGAAGACACTGAAACTACTCTATTAAAGATACTGTTATGAGAACCTACACTGGACCAGAAAATTTAAAAGGCTCCAAAAGGTGTCTTATATATAGATAACATATAATGCTGTACATTATTTTATATCTAAGAGAGAGACTTTAGACTCAGATATTTTCTTCAGACCTTGTGGTCACTACATAGAAAATGTGAGTACCAATTAATCACTGCATGGTCAGTACCAAAAAGCTCCCATACAACACAATTTAGGCAGGATGGGAACCTCTAATAAAGGCAAAAATTATTACATGGATTTAGAAGCTTAAGAGTAGCAAAAAACAAGATAGAAAGGTGAGCCCAAATTTGGATAGCAACCAGGGAAGACAGCTACACAAAGGTTACAAAAAACCCCAAAACAAACAAAAAAAAACCCCAACAAGCTTGTGTCATTTTAAACTGCAACAAGAGACACTCACTCCCTATATGAAGACAAGCAATTATCTGTGATGACATTAATGACATTGGTCTCTGTTAGTCAATATTTAGAAAAAATACTCCACAAGAGTTGCCACTGCCTCAGAGATTTGTCACAGACATTAGTATAGAGATCCTGTTCTCATCCAGACCTTTCCCCTTTGAGAGGCAGCCAGCTGCCTGAAAACCAGCAATAGAATCAAAGTTGCTGAGCAACTTATTAACTAGTAAAGCAAGTACCAAATGTTACAAATTCAGTAATCACTGATTTAGAAGGTAATTTACCTGTAAAGGACCTCAAACTAGGTTAAAAAAAGTTCTTAAAATATTTTCATTCAGATCTTGTGATGCTAGAGAGTGCCTTTCAGGTACACTATGCACTCAACCATTCCACAGGTCTTCGTGTGCTCACACTACAATATTCAATCCACTGGTATAAACAAATAATAATTCAGCTTTTCAATAATAAGCATTTGGAGTTACCTGAACAGCAGTTGGGTTTTGTCCCCAGCGAGCTGGGGTGATGGAGGGAACACACTCTTTTGGGTACCCACGCAAAGATAATTCCCAATATTTGACTGAGTGCCAATGTGACAAGTGTCACACCTTATAACAGATGTTGCCTTTCAGAATGAAAGCAGGAAAAGCCAAGGCAGAGTACTGAACCCTGCAGTACCTGACTGGAAGACGTATCTGGCTAAGCCTTGCATTAGCTCCGCTGGCCAGGTAGGTGGTGCCGACTCCCCCGTTTCTCTCTTTAGTCGAAATGTCAACTCAAATCCAAAACCACTTGGTCCATCTGTTCCCGTAAACCTGGAGGGAATGAAAAATGAAAAGTCATAACATGCTTCTTGTAACCAGAGCAGGCTTCAAGATTAGGACTGTGGAAAAATGATGAGTGTTCTCCTCATGGAAAATATAAGTTTAGAAATTCTCTTATTTCAGTGTACTCTATTTTGAATGGCACAACATTCAGGTTAGCTGACGTAATACAGTTTCAAAGATAACTATCAGAGTAGTGTTTTCAGCCAGAATAATGCAGTCTTGGAACCATGACACTTTTCCTGGGAGCAGTGGGATTTTCAGTACCCTAAACTTGTTTTTAAAACATCATTGTAAGTTTTGCACTGATAGCCAAATAGGAACACCAAAGAAAGTGCATAACAGAAAATAATATTATTCCACCCTTGTGAATTCACATTTCTATACACTGAAAAGTGGGATGCAACTAAAGTACTGGGTAGTAAGTCTCTGGGTTGAAATAGTTGAGTATTTTGATGTACAGCACACAATTTCTGCATTGTGGATGGTCAACAGTGGGGGGGAAACAAGAAGATGCAGACAGAAAATTGTTAATCTCTCACAAAATGCACTAATTCTTATTTTGCTCCAATATATGTTTACACACTTTCTCCTTGTGTATCTAAGAGGACAACAGTGGAAAAGCACTGAATATGACAACTACTGTTCAAGAAGCAGTAGTTTGGCCATTTCCCTATTCGACAGAGATAGGTGTTAATTTATTTGGTTTGATCAGATAGGGTCTACCCAGGAGAAATAAAGCCCTATTAGAAGCATCAAAGCTATTTTGAAAAGGAACAAATAGAGGCTACTGCATATTATTCCTTGCTTCAACAAAACTAGTCCTTGAGAATCCTGTATTTTATGACACATAAGATAAAGTCCCTGTTCCAAGTCCCCAACAGCTAAAAATGCCACATTTGCCTGTGAAAAATGAGAAACCTTGTAGACAAATAAATAAGCTCATAAACTTGAGAGCAAGTTGGGGACATCTATGTCCTTTTTACCACTGTCATCACACCCCTCACTTATTTGCTGTGGCTGTTCCACAAAGGCAGAGGAAAGAAAGAAAGAAAGGATTTATACTGAGCATAAAGGCACCAGAAGCTTTCACAAACCAGTATCATTCTGCAAGTTCAAATCTCCAACACCTGCAGCCATTGGCAAATTCTCTGGAGAAACTTTGCAAATGTCTTGGACACTGGTACCTTGCTGGCAAAAAACATTAACATTGTGCTATTTCTAAACAGCCAAACAGAGCAGTCAGGAAAGTGATGAGAACACTTTCCATTTGAAAAATACAGCTCACCAGCAGCGTGGTGACCAGCTCCAAGCGTTGGATGGATTGCTCCTATGGTAAGGAGTGTGAAACAGAAATGCTTTATAGCAACTCTGACTAATGACAAGTGTTAAAAGGGATCAGAGTTAAGCATTGATGCAACTCCTTGATCATGCAACGTAACTTTGTTTCAGGATTCTTCAAGAGAAGTTTGATTGTGGTAGACTTTCAAATGATGTAACTAAAGTACTTAAGAAACGTACCCAAGGACAGGACTAAACTATGGGACAGCCCAAAGAGATAACAGCTGTGACTAAAAACAAGCCAGCAGGTATTGAAAGTCAGTCAGACATCTACAATAAAGGGGAATAAATGACATAAGAAATAAAGACTTCATTTCATCAGTATAAAAATAATACAAGCATGTCTAGTTTGTTTCCCTCCATATTATTATCAACAAAGAATTTGAGAATCATACACTAGCAAAGCAAGAGAGCAGATAATGCATCTCAGAATGGTCAACTGGTACATATATAAACCTCTTTTAAGAAACAAGTGTACTTTTAAGCAACAAGTCAAACAATTCCATTTGGTTCTTAAACAAACCAAGAGCTTACTGAATAACCAGACAGCCAGGGAGCAGAATCTGGATGTGTTCTGCAATCATGCATGCAGGTCCACCACAAAGATTGGTACAGGATGGCGACAGCCTCACAAATACAAAGTTGTACTTTGTACATTCAGCACCCCTGTAGTGTTTTATTAGTTTCACGTATCAGTTAGCAAAGGAAAAACAGAACATTTCTTAAAGGGAGAAACAAAAACACTTAAAAGTGGGTAGTTTTCAAGGATTGATTCCAGGAAAAAGCATACACTAGAAACTAAAACACATTATGAACGGGTCAATTTTAAGGAGGATCAAAGTTAACAGAAAGCCTTCACGCTGATCTTCCACAGTTAAAATTTTTGGAAAGTAAGATGGCTCCCTATTGAATTTCCTCCTTTCAAGGCATGTTCTGAAACAACACAGCTTTACTTCTAATATGCATCGAGCTAGAGTTTAGTGGGGGTTTTTTGAACTCCACAGAGTTCTCTGCTTTCCAGAAATAACTGTTTAAGAGGAGACCACACATGCTTTATATTGATCCATCCACAGGCTACTGAGTTACAGAAGTGTTCAGGTGAGTATCCACCAAATTTAAAGCAAGACGAGTATTTAGAACATTGCTGGTCAGCAACACATCAGTAGTCACAAAGCAGTAAAACTGACAGGCAGTGTTACATGCTTTTTTTGTATGGTAATGACTCTAAACCAGAGAAGAACTACTAGAAAATAATCAGAATAAAAGATAAGGAAATGGGCAGTGTTATTTCCCTTCTAAGATTTAAAAAAATCCCTGCAGAGTCAAAAGATGTTTCTTCTAAAAACACTCAAAAAATGTAGCAGTATACAATGCTTATAATTCTTAAATTAACAATTAAATCTTAGAAAAATCCTATTTGTAAGTAAGAGATTAGTATTTAAAGATTAGATTTAAAATGTTTTTGAATAGTTAATGGTCACAGGTTGCTGAAAATACACTGCTTTGTTACAGTGAAATTTTAAATACATGCAATTCACCTGTACTGTGCAGCTGTTCTGAAGTAACAGTCTATAAAGTCAAAGTCTTTGATCTGTTTAATTTTAGGTAGGTAATTTGTTTTTGAAAAAACTGTGACACGTGGCTTTAAAGGTTTGTGATTATTTTAGAAATCCTTTATGTTTAATTCAGACAAGTCCTTTGTAGGAAGAAATATTAATATTCAGAATGTAATTAGGATAGTCATTTTCAATTAGCATTTTTGCCAAAGCTTTTGCTGTTATTATTAAAAAAAGTCTTGTATTTGAAAGAAAGTTGAATGTAGTTTCAACAGCTGCCATAAAATTTCTCTCAATGAACAACAGACCATAATCACGCACAAGAGCTCCTGGCCAAGGTCTGGAGGATGTACATGAGAATGGAAGCAGATGTGAGCTTCGGGAACTTAATAAACTTATACCCCTGCCACACGCCTCTGACCCTTGCTCTAACAAAAATCACAGAGAAGAACCCAGCAGCTGAGTTACACAGCTTGGCTTATCTCACAGAAGACTTTTCACTGGGAGTGAGCGGTTACACCGGCCCCGATTCCAAAACTTGTGAGGATACGGATGCATCAGTCTGCGCTGTCGGAGAGGCGAGCAGCAGCCCCAGCCAACAAACACACAGGAAATTAATCTGCCTGGTAAGAAGTCCAAGACCTCCAGATAAACATGCCATATGAATGGAAGACCAAGCAAATGGATTTTTGTCTCCCACAAGGATAGGAACTCCTCCCTTATATCTGGGCTGTAAACAGCTGCTCATTCCCCCAAATCACCTGTGCCCATTTTTGTTCAAGGCCTTATCAACAAGACAAAAGATGCACCTATTCTAACGAAGAAACCCATCCATGATGGAGGAGCTAATAAAGTGAGATTCCTCATAAACAAGTTAATTTATACCAAGATGTTCTATTACTTCCATGTGGAAACAGTGGATTCCCACAGCAGCCTCCTTCTTGTAGGGTACATCCTCATTGCTTGGGGTTATCTTAAGAAGCTGCCAAGGAACTGGACAAAAAAGGATGACATCTTGCAGGCTTGTAGATATTCAAACTCAGGCTCCTTCTCACAAGTTCCAAATTTCCACCAAAGTTCCATAAAACTTTCAGAAAGTCAATGACCTTCAACCAGCCACAGTCAACCAACAATCTAAAAAAAAAATAATCTATATATAATTCCAGAAGAGACAGACTGAGCAAGCCTCATTTCCACAGAAAACTGAGTGGAGGGGTGAGGATAACCCATAGATGGAAGAAGTCCTGCTAAAGTGCACAGAAGTCAGGTTTGCTCATGACCTCTTCCATCAACTCCTCAAATTCAGTGCTACCTGCACCTGTACTAACTTGTTCCCTTCCAAGCAGGAATCATCTGTAGCAGGTGAGCGTGACCCCAACTCCTGTGTCAACTGTGAAGGTGACGTGTTTTTACTACACACTTTTTGTTTTACAAGCAGCAAGATTCTGGCACTACTTGGGGTTGGTTTCTTTGTGAGTAAGGGAGGTAGGGACTGGGGGCGGTGGTTTTGAGGGTCTTTTTGTTTGGCTGGAATGGAGGCTTTGGAGCTCTGTTCAGCTTCTCAGCATTGAAGTGCTTTGCAGGTCATTTCTTTGTCAAAACAATACAACTCAACAGTCCTAAAGCACCTCAGCTTTACAATAAGAAGATATCTGAGATAGAGCATGTGTGGGAAGGAAACCTTAAAATTAATATTAGTAGCTGTGCATGGCCCCAGGTACATAAAGTGAAAGCTGCCATACAGCATTAAGTTTCTGTACTAACAGATCTGAATATTTCACATAGTTTGGTTTACGTCTTGATTCTGCTGAGCCCTGCACTTTTGCGTGCAAGTTTCCCTGAAATGCCCCTAAAATCCTAAGAAGGAATGAAAAAAAAAAAACCCAACCAAACCCAAACCACCAAATTCCCTATTTTGCCCAAACACTATAAAGATACTAATTATGAAGAGACAGTATGGATTGTATTGTGCCTGACACTGTTCTCCACCCCCCCAGCACAAGGGCACATCACCTCTATAGCCAACCCAACAGCAGAGCAGCTGGATAAGTTTTCACAAAAAACAAACATAAATGGAGAAACTCTTGGCTTGCT